CGGTTTGATGTTTATGCCCTCAGCTATTTTCCCCCAGTAGAACATGAAGAATATTACCACTTGGTGAGGGTGGCATGAATCATAGGTGTTGGCATTTATTAAGCATTTACTGTGTACAAAGTGCTATGCTAAGGAATTTGCTCCTATTGTTGATAATCATCCTAGTAACCCTATAATGTAGGAACTATTATTAGCTTGTACAGATCACAGAACAGGGGCATGGAGAGGTTATTTGCAGTGGGGACCTCAAACCCCGGCAGTCTGAATCTGCCCCGCCGCTTTGTAGTACCTCAGTCAAGGGCTTTGAATGAGTAAAAGGCTCTGTGATGGTCCCAGCTGGCCACCTCGCTCACCTGGTGGGGAAGACATGACAGGATAATGGATACTTGTTCATAAAAGAAGAGGGTTGCCAGGCATTCGTGCTCCTGATTTACGGCGTGGCAGGCGTGCTCTCGGAGCGCACTCACCAACAGACAGAAATACAGAAACAGCTTCTTGCATATCTGCCCCAGGCTACCGTGATTCACCACTCCATCTGTCTGCCCCCAGCAGGCTCAGATGTGGGAGGGGTTCCCTGAACCCCATCTGTGAAGGTGGAGATCTGGGACCAGGCTTGGGGCTTCCCCAGAGCATCCCCTGGGAGGGACCCTGCCTCTGGGCTGGCTTTGGCAGTCCCTGGCCCCACGAGCCTAGGAAAGAATCTTACCAGTCCTCATTCACCTCATTCTCTGTTCCTCAGGGAAGACCTTTGTGACTTGAATTTCAGCAGAAAGGCCATAGCATTTCGTAGGAGTCTCAAGTCCAGATGCCCACCAGGACCAGGCAGGTAATGTAGTGAACCCAGCCGGGTGACTGAGACAGCGTGATGTGGTGACTACTGCATTGAAACCAGTGTCTCCCTAGAGGATATGGCTTCTCCTCAGCTCTGGTCAATTATTACCTTTCAGGGGCGTAAGCGCTGCAGTGCTGAACCTTCAGATTTCCAGAACAACTGGAAATCTGTCCTTCCTAGGAAACCTACTCATTTTTCATTTAATTTAAAATTAAATTTAAAAAATTCTTAACACAATAGATGACCAATAAAATACATTGTAAGTCAGAATAGTTCTTGGGCTGGAAGCGTGAAAGTTCTAGTATATAGGCAAGAGCATTGGGCCTCAAAGGTGGAAGGTCTGAGTTTGTCTGCTCTTAGCTAGATGACCTTGGAAAAAGCCACCTCTCCTCTCTGAGTCTCTGTCTCCTCATTTATAAGGTGGGAAGGCTATCAGCTTGGGTTTATGATAACTAAGCATGGAATGTATGGTATCATTCAACAATGAGTTCTATGAGAAAGAGTATAAATAAGTGGGACACAGGTGAGTCTCTGGGCTTCATTTCTGACCTAGCTCTAGCTTCTAAGGAAGAACTCGAGCGGTCTGGCTTCTGCCGGGCCGGCTCTGACCAGTATTTCAGGCTGCTGCCCTGGCCAGGGACACAATGGGCAGGGCATATAGGAAGTCATGCTTTCTGCAAAAATGGGAGAAAGTCATGTGTGGCTGGGGAGCATTTCACAGTGACAGGTCTCTGGTCTTCATCCCTAAGAGTACAGTTCAGGAGGATTGGGGTAGGGTCGGAGCTATTCCTTTAAGAGGACCCTCAGGAGATGCTCATGCACAGCCAGGTTTGCACCCTTCTCCCTGCTCTAAATGCTCTGACCCTGTGTGTGCCCGTTCTCCCAGTAGAACTTCCAAGAAAGGCCCTTATAGCTGTTTAATGAGCACTTACGATGTTCCAGGGCCTGTATTTGACACTTTGCTCATGCTCTCTCACTCAAGAGCTGGTATTATTACCAGAATTTTCCAGACAAAGACACTGGGGTTCAGGAAGGCTTAAGGTCTCAATATGGGCAAGTGGTAGGAATTGGCTTCAAATTTAGAAATGCCTGACTGAGGAGCCCATGTAGCCTCCAATGCCATGTCACCCCTAGATGACACATACACTCGGCCACCAAAGCCCAATCACTCAGGATCTCACTGCCCGCCCTTCGCCCCGCCCCCCCAGCAGACACGCCCACTTTGGTGTTCTCGGGGCGGCAGGTGGGAGGTGGAGCGCCACCTAGTGGTGGTCTTTAAAGATGCTTTGGTAAGCCGCTGCTTTCTCCAGATGAGCTTGGTGGGAGGCGAGCAGTTGCCCCACAGAGTGAAAGAGATGACTCGCAAGGGTCAGAATGAAAGTCACGAAGAGCCTGGGGTACAGGGCCCCCGAACTGAGGCATGTGGAGTGGGGAGTCACTATAGCATCTCGAACAATGCAGCAAAATGGTGAAGCTCCTCTAACTTCTGGGAAGCCGTGGACATGGGTTTTTACCCTTTATCCTTGCAACTCCCCTGTGACCCAGGAAGGAAAGGTCTTCTTGGTCCATTTTGCACGCGGACAAGGTAAGACTCACCGAAAGCCAGCAGCTTGGGCACGTGCCTTGAGTCAGTGAAGGAGGCAGCTAACCCTCTCATCACACTGGTTGAGAATGATGGTGGTGATGGTGGAGGTGATGGTGGCTGGTCATGGCGGCAGCTGCTAATATTTAGTGAGCTTGTAGCATCACAGCTCTGTAGGTAAGTACAGTTATTATCCCCACTTTCAGGTGAGGAAACTGGCTCAGAGGAATGGGTGAACTTACCCCAAGGGGACACAGCTTCTAGGCAGTGGAAGAGGGATTCAAACCCTGGCAACACGTGTCCCCAGAGTCAAAGCTCTTAACCCCTGTCCCTTCTACTAGCTGAGGAAGCCTCCCTGCCAAGATGCCAGCAAAATGGATGCTTTACTCCAGCTCCCCTTACTCCATCCACCCCCCCATAAGCTGGACTGAGAAGCCGTGGCCTCCATCAGGTGGCAATACCCAAACCCACATTATTCTCAGAGACCCTCTCTGCCGTGTGACCGTGGGCAAATGTCTTCCCCTCTCTGAGCTGCTGTTTCCATATCTGTGAAATAGAGAGTTTAAACTAGTTGAGCTCCGAGGTCCTGCTATTCTGTGCGTCTGTGACTCTATAACAAGACTGGCTTAAGAATTTCTCCCCTGCTAACAATTTGAATTTGTCCTTGAATCAGTTGCCACAGAAAAAAACAGTCTCTCTCCTCTCCTCTCTCCGCCTCCCTCTCTCCCCTCCCCCTTTCCTCTCTTCTCTCCCCTCTCCCTTCCTCCTCCTCCCTCTTTCTCTCAATCTCTCAATTTTCAGCCTAATTATGGTTAACTCTGTTATTTAGAGACTTATTATCCAAGCTCATTATGAGTAATTATTCAGTCTGGAGGGGAAACAGCAACACTGCTAGTTTAATTTAATGCTTACCTAGTTCACTTAATTAGCAATAAGTCTTGGCAAAACGATGGAATGCACGGGGTCCTGGCTTGGTGGGGGTTGGGGGGGAGGCTGAGTTCTGTTCTTGGGAAGATAAACAAGTTCCAGGGCAGAATGTGGGAGGAGGCAGGAGGGAGCAGCCTGTAAGCGGGGCCGTGCCACCTGTTCAGGCTGAGGATGGCCTGTGACAGTGAAAGGTTGTGCATTACACGGGCTGGAAGGGCCTTGGGTCAGGTAGCACTTATGAGGCACCTGCTGTGTGCTAGACCCTGTGCAAGGCCCTGAGCAAACCTTATTTCTAATGCCCCATATCTGGGACTTGGGCATTCAAGGTAATTTAGATAATCAGCTCTCATAGCAAGTACGTTCTCTTTTCAGTAGCCTTGCAGTAATTTTGGTTCTGCCAAGGACAGTGTGGCCCATTTAATGCTGCTGTGTCTGTTACATCTCTGTCTTCACTTAGGGAGGCCACAGGCTCGGGGCTTTGGGCAGGCAGCAGGATCTAGCTGTTGTTCAGCTTTGGCTTTTTTGATAGTTTTCATCTACTTATGGCAAATGATGTTGAAATATAGAAGTGATCTAAAGTTTCCATTGCAGCAAAAATAAGTGAATTGTCAGACAGAAAAATATGGGGTAAGAAGGCAGGGTAGGGTCCTTGCCAAGGAGGAAGGAGAATGGAAAAAAGGACCGTTAAGTGCTCTGGGTCAGGGATTATCTAGCCAGGGGGCAAGCTGCCACCCCCCGCCCCACTCCCGTGCCCTGGAGAGACAAATAAGCAGGCAGGGATGACCCAAAGGCTGCCTCAGAATCCTGGACTCGGCTCCAAGCACCCACTAGGAGGTCAGAATGACCCTCCCGACCACCTTCCCCAGCCAGCCAAAGCCCCTCACAGTTTCTCCCAGGCAGCGCTGTCCAAATGAGGACATCCCAGGCCCTTCTTGTCCCTCTTGTCACTCCCGTGGCCTCTTTGACGTATAATACTCTCTCATTTCTCCTCAGTCCCTCATTGGTCCTCCTGGCCCCCTGCTGTACCAGTGGGTAAACTGAGGCCCAGAAGGATGCTTCCACAGTCAATTAACAGCAGAGCCACGGCCATGCCAAAACACCTTTCTGGCCAAGTTCTGGTGTCTTCCTCCTTCATCTGCCAGCCTTGGAGCCCAGCCGCAGGGCCCTCTCCTGGAAGTGCCACTCCTCCTACCCACCATCTGATACACCTGTCCTGTGGCCCACATGAGAGTCGGTGTGTTAAAGGAGCCCTGTGTCTCTACCCACAGAGAGGTGGGTAGCAAGGTGGGGCAAGTGTGCACGGAAATGTGCCCACCGTGCTTCTTGAAACACCAGGGGGCCAGGAGTATTTCAGTCCACATTCAAGCCTCCCTCTGCCATGTTGCAGAGCCCACAGGGGTCTCAGGGCCAAGGTTTGGCCTGTGTAGCCATCCTTGGGCCTTTCCCACCCCTACCCAGCTAGAAACTGCCCAAAACACCAAAAAACAAAAACAAAGACAAAGGGGTTTGGACAAACAGAATGTCTGTTCTTTTTTTTTTTTTTTTTTAAGATTTTGTTTATTTATTTGACAGACAGAGACAGCGAGAGCAGGAACACAAGCAGCGGGAGTGGGAGAGGGAGAAGCAGGCTGCCCCCACCCGCAGGAGGGAGCCCGATGCGGGACTCGATCCCAGAACCCCGGGATCATGACCTGAGCCGAAGACAGACGCTTAACAACTAAATCACCCAGGCGCCTTGGAATGTCTGTTCTTATCCCAGCTTTCCTGGTGGCTCTGTGCACCACCCTCCGCAAGAACCCCGCCTGGTTGCTCAGGCCAGCCTCTTGCTTACACGCTCATAGGTCACGCCTCCGATGGTGGAGATCTGAAAGAAGCAGCCAGAACAGAGGGAGTCAGTGCAGGGGCCCCTAAGTGAGATGGAGCACAACTGGGGGAAGATAGGCCTTCAGTCCCAGACCTGAGTGGAAGTGAGCAGGTTGCACCACTTCTCTGAGCCTCAGTTTCCCAATTTGTTATGCGAGCCCCTGTGTAGACTCAGTATGGCAAAAGTGCTAAACAGATGTTAGGGCTGATGTGGCTCTTCATATTGTAACCTTCCATCTGTCCACTGAAATGCACCTACTCTGGGCACTTCCCTTGTGTTATCCCATTTAGTTCTCCCAACGACACAGTAGGGTTGTACCCATTGTACAGATGAGAACACTGAAGTCTAGAGGAGTCAAGTAATCCCTTTAAGATCTAGAGGCCACACTTAACCTCTGCACCACACAGCATTTATGGGACACCTGTTCTTGGTGATAGAGTCCCTGCCCCGGGGGAAGGCAGGCAAGGGGGTGCTGTTCAGTGAAGGTGTCGTCCTATGTCCTGGGCTCGAGGCCCTCGAGACCCACTGTCAGGGGGCATGCAAGTATCATGAGTTGATCCTAATAGCCAGCAGAAGAGGCAGCCTTCTCACAGGAAGTGGGTGGGTGGCAAATGGCGTCTTTGTGAGCAGTTCTGTCAAGGGTGGCAGTGTGAAGTGATGGGTGATTTGCACCTGGAACAAGACGGAGTAGAGGGGGAGCTGCGAGCAGGCAGGAGGCTAGGACTTGGTCTAGAGCGATGATGAGAGCATGGCGAGGGGTGCTGGTGTTGGCCTGGAGAGGGAGGAGGCGTGCCCACCGAATACACGCCCTGTTGGTAGAAAAGCACAGAGGTGTCCAGGATGATTCTGGGCCTCTAGGAAGAGGAGACGTGCAACCAAAACAGCTTCTCTCTGGCACCTAATCCGTGCGCATGCCTGTGCCTTGTGTATGCATGCATATGTACAGGTGTGTGTGTGTGTGTGTGTGTGACAACCCTGAACTCTGGGCACTGCTCACACCACACAGGCTCCATGGTCAGGGGCCTCTAGGCGTCAGGAAACAAGTTTCTTCAATTTGGGAAGATTGATGCTCCTGTTGGGCGCAAACCTGCTTCTGGTTCTCTCACCCTGGGTGCTCCCCACACACCTCACAGGCGGGGAGCTTTGCTTCTGGGAGTCAGAACCCACTGGCTGACATTTAACGTAAAAATATGTCCAGAGCTTTTATCAGATTTTCTAAGAGGTCAATTTCTATCCAGGAAAAAAATGGATAGTCAGTTATGTTCTTTTATATATATATATTTTTTTAAATTCTGTGCATCTCTTCATTTTTAGGTCTTGTGTGTGTGTGTGTGTGTGTGTTTGTTGTTGTTGTTGTTGTTAATTAAAGACCCACTGGCCTGGGCAGAGCTGGCGGAGAGCCTAGTCTAGAAGTCAGCCAGTGGGACCTGCCTCCACCACGAACTAGCTGTGGGGCTTTGGACAAGTTACTTGTTCTCTCTGAGCCTCAATGGCCTCTCTGTAAAATGGAAATAATGGGAGGTCCCTGAGTCTCTTGGGCCTCTAGACTGGGTTTGAGATGAGGAAAACAAGGAAACAAGAGGGGGAGAGAGGGGAGGGGGGCAAGGGGGTGGCAAACCCTCCCTCCCTCATCACTTCCCTTCTGGAGAGCCTTGGGGGGGTAGACTGGACCCCAGGGAGCTCTGGCCCAGGACATGGGCTCACAAGGGGAGAATGAAGTGTGGAAGAGCCTACTTTTTGCTTTTAACTTCACATCCATTTCTTTCACCTGGGGAAAATTCTGGAGCCCTGAGGGAAGAAACAGAAGGGAGGTGAAGGGAGAGCAGCACCTCCAATCTGTGCTTATAGAGCACCAAGTGTGGGAAGGGTCCAGCCGCAGATGTGTGTTAGTTAGCCCTGCCAGCATTTTTTAAAAGGTTTAATTCACTGCCAACATTTAGTAGTCTGGAGGTTTCACAGAGAAGTGCAAAGTTCCAGCTTCTCTTGAAAAATCAGAAGATCTAGCAGAAAGAGCCTGAAGTCCCTTGGGGAGGTGGAGCAGCATGGTGGCTGCCCTTGCGGGGCCCACCTGGACTCCCCCCTTCATTTAAACTCTGGAGTGGGTTCCAGGGCCTTCCACGCTTGGGCCCCTGAGGCAGCAGAGTCCCTGCCGAGCATCAGTTGCCAGCACTGTCAGAGACACTAGGTGCCCTCCAGCTAACCACTCAGCTCCCAGCACCTCAGTGTCCTCACCTGGAAGATGCAGAGAAAAAGCCCTACCTAGCAGGTGATCGTGAAGGTCGAACGAGACGATGTCCCCCAGGCGCTCAGCACAGAGCCTGGCATGTGGGAAGTGCCCCGAGAGCCAGGGCTGGAGGCAGGAAAGTGTCCTGATCATTGTCCCAGGAACGAGCAAGACACTCACCTCCACCAGCCTGTCGCCCACGATCTCCGAGGTCTGGCGATAGTTGGGGAACTCCACCGATATCTTCCCACCCTCCATGTGCACAGTGGCCTGGAAGCAAAGCATAACACTGAACCTGAGCCGGCAGAGGCCCCCAAACGCAAGCCAGCCCCCAAGGGAGGAAGGGCTACCCACAGCGCCCCCTGCAGTCCCCTCTGGGATTTAACTTGCCTTGGAGATACAGGATGACATAGATCCACAGGTACAGACAACACGCACAAGTCACTCGACCTTATTGTGCCTCAGCTTTCTCACCTCTAAAATGAGGGTAGTAACTGTACCTCCTTCAGAGTTCTTAGGAGGATTGAAGGATTTCTTAGGACATATGGAAAGTACTTAGAACAGTGCCCGGCCCGGGACCAGTGCTCCTTGTTAACTGTGGGTTTGGTTATGATCCTCATTGTTAGGATGATGATGATGTCATGCAGAATGTGGACCGCAGCATTGTTTGTAATTGTAAACAACCTAAGTAGCCGTCCAGACTCTCCACCGGTAAGTAACTTCAATATCTTATCAACCAGGGAGTGTGAAAGGAATGATAGCATTTCCATACTAAAAGATGCTGTGCAAGCAGTAAAAACAATAAGGCAAATCGATCTGTGCTGACACAGAACGAGATCCTGAGAAACTGTTAAATTGTTAAAACCCACAAGTGACAGAAGATGAACATTAGGACCACTTATTCTCTACTGTGGCAGCCTAAGGAGCAGAGTAGTCATGGTCATGGCTGGGGGCAATAGAAGGGACCCAGAATCGGTGGAAGATCTGCGGGACCAGGCTGGGTAGGAGAGGACAGTCACCTTTTACTTCTTTCTTACGTAAGATTGCGGTTTCGAACCCATGCGAGTCCGATTCTAGGGCTGTGCTTCTCTAGGCTACAATGGAAGGCAGCCCGAGCAAAGGGTTATGCTCTCTGAAGCCAGGCTGCCTGGGGTGTGGAGGTCTGCCTGTGCTGTGTGACCCGGCAAGCCACTGAACCCCATGGCTCAGCCTAACTCCCTCATCTGTAAAATGGGATAGTAACTGCTGTGACTTCATAGGATGCACTGCAGTAACGTGTGAAGTATTCAGTAGGTGTCTGGGATATATTAAGTGCAAGTGTTAACAATTTTTATTTATTTTTATTTTTTTATTTTTAAAGATTTTATTTATTTGTCAGAGAGAGAGAGGGAGAGAGCACAAGCAGTGGCAGGCAGAGAGAGAAGCAGGCTCCCCGCTGAGCAAGGAGCCCGATGCGGGACTCGATCCCAGGACCCCGGGATCATGACCTCAGCCAAAGGCAGACGCTTAACGACTGAGTCACCCAAGCGTCCCAAGTGTTAACAATTTTTAACAGTTGCGTTACAGTGTCTATTATTCACTGTAGCATTAAGAACCCGGAGTGATTAACTTGCTGAGTAACTCAAGCGCTTAAGGCTGGAGGCTAGACTCTAGAACCGAGCCTCAGCTTGGGGTGCAGCCCCAAGGGGACAGGTTTGAGACCAAGAAGTTAGCCAGCAGCTTGGGGAAGGAGGGCGGGGCGGCCAGTGGCCCCTCACCTTGAACTTTTTGCCGCCCATGGTCTCCATGTCACACTCCTTGCCGATGGTGAACTTGTTGGTCATGGAGTGGCCGTTCGGGTAGTGCTGGGACCAGGTGAAGTTCTGCCCGTCCTGCTGCACCTCCGTGACAGTCTTGAAGTTTCGGCCCTTTTCGATAGCATCGCTGGGGAGCCCTGGCCCAGGGACGAGTAGAGCGGCATGTAAGAGGGGCTTACAACCTGTGGCTCTGGGAGAAGGCTTTCCTCCCTGGTGGCTGGCTAGCCTGATGGTTAGGAGCACAAATCCCAGTTCTACCATGAACCATGAGCTGGGATGCGTCACTACCTCTCTGAGCCTCAGTGTTCCCATCAACAAAATGGGGGTAATAAGGCCCATTTCACAAGGCTGTTGTGAGGAGGAAGTTAAAGTGATTGTGTCTTATAAAACTCCTGGCATGTAACTGACAACAAGTACTAACTGTTCTGATAGCACCAAAACACAAACACAGCAGACACGGCCAAGCTCACCAAGCCCTAGGATGAATGGGACCAGTGAGACTGCCTTCTAACCCTGGTGTTTCACAGATGAGGCAGGGAAGACCCAGAGCAGGAAAGGGGCTTCCCAGCATCTCTGTGGAGGCTAACAGCAGAACCAGATCTACCATGGAGACTTGCGCCCTTCCAATTCCACGAGACTGTTGTAGGTCAAGCCAAGTCACTGTTCCTTCAGGGCCACTCCCAATAATTGACTCAGAGGGCTCTTGTCTCCCCAAGGCCCCTGCTTTCAGCGCCTCTCAGATCCCCTGGGACCGTCCTCTGACTCTTGACAATGGCACTGCCTCTGACTTAGAGAGTGCCCCAAGATTTCTGCAGGACTGTCAGGGCCACTGTCCCATGGGTTCCTCACAATCGGTGCTGCAAATGGAGCAGTGAAGAGGAGCGGCATCGCTGATCTCAGCCCACAGTTCCTAGCGCAGTAAGAGGCCCGCGTTTGTTGAATGGCCAAATGAGTGCATGGCTTGTCAAACCTGGCCTCTATAGTAATCCCTTGGTCACCTCTCCCCAGGCACCACTCATCCTCTCATCATTGGGTCCTGGGTGCTAATGATCTCTGCCCCTAATTTACAGTGTGACCTTGCGCACGTCATGCTGAGGCACCCCATCAGGAACGTCGGGTTGGCCCTTACCTATAGCAGGTGTTCAATATATGTCTTGAATGAATGAACGAGCCAGTCAAGCCTGCACCTCACCAACTACTGGCTTTGTGACCTTGGACTAGTAACTCAGCTTCTCTGGGCCTCAAGGAGTTTGGGTTGGTGGCCCCAAACTGGCTGTGACAAACTAGCCCAGGGAAGGGGTCTTCGTGCACTCACTCACCGAGGCTCTTCATGAACTCGTCGTAATTCTTGTCACTCTCGAACTCGTACTTGCCATTGAAGGCCATGCTGCTGGGAGAGCCGGAGGCCGCAAGGCAGGGGGTTGAGGAAGAAGGATCGTGGTGCTGAGGGGCCCGGTGCCCCAGCTTATAAACTCTGCCACACGCTGGGGCTTGGCCCCTAAGTCACCCCACCTCCTCCTCCAGCCCTGAAGAGGAAGCATTGCCTGTTTTATGACGGGGGCAGGACCCAGCGGAGCAGAACACTGAGGTTATTCACCCAGGGGAGTGCTGGCTGCAGGCCCTTTGCCACTCCCAGCAAGGGCGATGGCAATGCCAGAGTGTTCGAGGTCTCAGCCGCCTCTGCCCTCCCTCCCTCCCTTCGTCCTTGCCCTGCCCTCCAGCCACGCTCGCCTCACCCCTTATTTACTTGTTCACCCCCTCATTCATCGACCAAAGCGCATCGAGCACCTGCTGCATGCGGGGCTGGTACCAAGGCCACACGGATGAATGAGACATACACCCTCCCCCCAAAGAGCTTCCAGTCTAGTCTGGAGACGAAACACAGGCCTGCAGAGAACCCTCCTGCAGGCAGGATGTGATGAGTCCCTAGACAAATGCAGATGCATGGCCTGGGGCACAGGGAAGGAGCAGGGGGGCAGCTGGGGGCCGGGATATCTTTGCATAGGCGATGGCGTTTGATGCTGGTCTGGAAGGACGTTTAGAGAAACAGAGGGTTGGAGAAGGCAGGGAATACAGGGACACAACACTAGGATGAGGGAACAGTGTGACGAAGGTGGGAAGGGCCATGATGGAAGGAAAAATGAGTTTGACTGCAGCAAAGAGCACTTGAAGGAGAAGAGACAGAAGCAGGGTGTGGATGATGCCAGCGAGGTGAAGCAGCAGTACGGGGGCCAGGGAGCAGCTTGGAGCAGGGCTGCCAGGGGGCACTGAAGACCCACCACGTGCCGGGCGCAGGCCAGGAGCTCGGTGGATTGTGTGTTGTTCGAAGCTCACGACCTGGGAGGGGGGGGGCATTCAGATCCCAGACATCAAGGTCCTGTCCTGCCTGTCTTGTGGGATTGCTCCCCGGATCAGACTGAGGACCCTCCTTTTTCTTATTATTAATTATGGAAATTTCTGCAAGTCGGTCTCCTTTTCCAGAATCAGCTCTTCATGAATCCCCATCATTTCTTTCTTTCTTTTTGAATCCTCATCATTTCTATCTAAAGCAGAACTCACCACAGATCTGGGACTGAGTGATTTCTGAGCAGGTGAAACCCACTTTGCCCCATTTTGCCAGTGTTCAGTCTCCAGTCTTGGAATTCCTTACTCCTGCCAGGGGTCTTATTTTTTTAAAAAACCATAAACACACACACATACACACATCCTCATCATCATTATCATTATCACGGGTTTTCTGATAAGTTATATATATTAACATTTCATAACTCAGAGCAAGTAACAGTCCTCTCACTTGGCAGAGATGGCCCTTAATAGTTTGTGTCTATCCTTCTAAACTTAAAGCATATACATATACTTCTTCTATAAATGAGACTATATTGTTCTGTAACTGAGGGGTTTTTTTAAATTTTATTTATTTATTTTGAGAGAGAGCACAATCAGAGGGAGCCGCAAGCAGAGGGAGAGGGAGAAGCAGACTCCCCACTGCGCAAGGAGCCCAGTGTGGGGCTCGATCCCAGGACCCCAGGATTATAACCTGATGATTAAGCAGATGGTTAACCGACTGAGCCGCCCAGGCGCCCCTGTAACCTCATTTTTATATAATGATATGGGTACATGTCTGTATCATGACATAAAGGTAAATCATATCCCTTTTAATAGCTCCAGAATGTTCATAGTCTATTGTCTGTATGTTGTAATTTACATAACTTAAGTAAACATTATGTACATGTTATGTAACAATGTAACTTGATCTTCAGGTTATTTTTCTAAACTTTTTCTATGACAGGGGCACCTGAGTGGCTCAGTCGTTAAGCGTCTGCCTTCAGCTCAGGTCATGATCCCAGGGTCCTGGGACGCAGCCCCGCATCTCATCGGGCTCCCTGCTCAGCAGGAAGGCCGCTTCTCCCTCTCCCCCTCCCCCTGCTTGTGTTCCCTCTCTCGCTGTGTCTCTCTGTCAAATAAATGAATAAAATCTTTATTTATTTTTTTAAAGATTTATTTATTGATTTTGAGAGACTGAGAATGAGAGAGAGAGCGAGCACATGAGAGGGGGGAGGGTCAGAGGGAGAAGCAGACTCCCCGCCAAGCAGGGAGCCCGATGCGGGACTGGAGCCCGATGTGGGACTCGATCCCAGGACTCCAGGATCATGACCTGAGCCAAAGGCAGTCACTTAACTGAGCCACCCAGGCGCCCATGAATAAAATCTTTAAAAAAAGATCTTTAAACTTTTTCTATGACAAATAACTCTGAGATAAACATTTTTTTTTTTTTTTGCAGTTTTAGACCTTTATTTGACAATCAGCAATTAGTTCTTATCTACATTAACTGTTATAGATTTTCAGAAGCGGTGACAGGTACTTAGGTAACCACCATATAGAGCTTGTTTGGTGATTCTTCATCCTCGCGATGTTTTCTGGACAACCTCACACGGAGACGGAATGGAACATTCCTTATTCCTTTGGCCCAGACAGCTTTGTTGAACCTGGTGTGAATGCGCACATCTGGAGCTCCCATCTCTTTCATGGCAAATTTCCAGATCTCTTTGAGTGCCCTAGGGGCACGCTTCCTGAACCCACTCTATGGATGTGCTTGTGAATGGGGATGGTATGTTTTCTGGTCACTACCTCGTTGATGGCAGAACGGCCCTTCTGGCCACGCTTCTTCGCGGGAGCCATTCTGCCGGGCCCTAGTTGGAAAGTTGACATAAACCTTCTCTTTCACACCTCAGTACACATGTCAGATTATTCACTAAGGATGAATTTCTAGACATGAAATCCCTGGAACAAAGAGGTTTTGTATTTATATCTGTTACTCTGCGGCCTGTCTGAAGTGCTCTAGCGCTGTGTGCTCCTACCTAGAGCATGTGAGGATTCCCCTTTGATGCTAATGACGGCAGAACAACAGCAATAATAGCTAACATTTATCAGGTGTTTATTATGCACTGGGCATGCTGCTAAGTGTGTTACACAGATTATCTCATTTATTCTTCAAAAAGATTCTATGAAGTAAGAGTCATTTTCCCCATTTTGCCAAGGAGGAACCAGGGCTTCAGAGAAGTAACTTGCCCAAAGCCACAGAGCCCCTGTGTGGAGTCCCTACTTAGTACCACAACAACTGTCAATAGCATTTAAAGACATTTCCAAAAATCCTCCATAACCCATCGCCCTAACTCAATAAGTGTTCTTATTTTTCTACTTTCTTCCTCCGTCTTTCGCTCTTCTGTCTCCTCTCATCCTTGTGTTTTCTTTCTCACTGACTCTAATTATGGCAGATAAATGAGAGCTATAATCACTATGTAAATGCAATACCACTCTATTTTTCTTTGCTCAGCATTAGTTTGAAAACACAGTCCCATGTTTCCATAAAGCTGCCATGTTTATTATTAGAAATGGATGCATAATGTTTACTGTTGGACCTTTGGGAGGGCCTAGCTTACCCCATTAAATGTGAGACCACAGTGAGTTTCTTTATATGATTTTTTAGAAAGCATGTCCTTGAACTAAAACCCCAGGATGGAATCACAAAGTTATGGGATCTGGAACATTTTGATTTTAAAGACTGATTGACTGATTTGAGGTGGGAGAAAGGGCAGAGAGAGGGGGAGAAGGAGAGAAGCAGACTCCCCACTGAGCATGGGGCAGGGGCTTGATCCCAGGACTCCAAGACCATGACCTGAGCCGAAATCAAGGGTCTGTCGCTTAACCGACTGAGCCACCCAGGTGCCCTGAGGTTGTGTTCTTTACAGCGTGGTCTTCATCATACACTGCTGAGGGTGCAGGAAAGGAAGGCTTGTGAAAAATAGAAATTCCTGGGCTCTGACCCCCAGAAGTTCTGGCTTGGGTGTGGGGCCCTGGAATCTGCATTTGCTACACTCCCAGTGGTTGTGCTGCAGTTACCCTGAGAAGCTCCAGGCCAGGGGACGTGGAAAAGAGCCCGCAGGATGGACCAGACAGCCTCTCTGGGGCCCCACTTAACTTCCTTTCCCACTGACTTCCTTCTGCGTTGTCAGAACTGTTTTCTCCTCAATAGCTACTCATCCAAGGTCAGCATCAAAGGCAGGACAGGCGTGGTGGGGGTGTGGGACAGCACGACATTGGCACCGGGACGCCTGACTCAGCGGCGCTCCTTTTCCCTTCACTGGAGTTTATGAGCGCATCTGACCCTCCATCCCTCCTCCCACCCATGCCCTGCCCCTTTCCCTCTTCAGCTGGGGAACAGCTGAACCTGTTTGTTCAGACACTCATTGAGGACCTTCCAAGAGGGGTAAATGAACTCAAACTGCCTCCATATCACAGTGAGGTTTTATGGGGCAATTGAGGTAAAAGCGACACTACCCCAGTGGAGATCAAGAGGAGCCCCAAGGCTAATGCATGCCCCTGGGCCACCCCAACTTCCCACCTGGACTCTGGCTCCAGCCTCAAATCAGCCACCATCATTCTGAGAGTAACTAGCCTAGGGAGTGAGAAATGCAGGTGCTTTAGTCCACGGTTGGAGGAGAAGCCCTCCTCCTAACCTCCCCACCCCAGGACCTTCTAGCACCTTGCATGGAGTAAATGATTGATCAGGGCTACACATGCCTTAACCAAACCTCCTTCCTCTTCTTTCCTCAACCAGAAATCTGAAATGCTACTTGGGGTTGATCCTAGACTGTCAAGGCTAAATGGGATCTCTGAGGGCAATTTATTTCATGATGATTTTCCTAGCTCTGCTCTCAGGAGTCAGAGGCTAAGAAATTCAGCATTCCCTCGGAACACCCAGTCAGTACTTTGTGAACCCACAATTTGAAGCAGAAGTGACGGAGACTCTTAGGCCAGGAGGCCAGAGTTTGAATCCCAGATCTGCCACTCACTGGCTGGGTGACCTTGGGCAAGTCATTTATCTTCCTGTGTTTCTGTTTTCTCATGAGTTAATTAAATAAGTTAATTTCTGGGCCCCTGGGTGGCTCAGTCAGTTAAGCGGCTGCCTTTGGCTCAGGTCAT